GCAGCCCGATTCGTAACCACTACGCTACCAGTTGCACCTTGAGGACTATAGGGAGGAAAGTTTTAACACCTCAAAGTCAAGCTTTGCAGAATGTGAACAGTGTGGGCAGAGGTGTGTGGACATGCATTGTCACTCAAGATCACAACATCCTTGGAGAGCAGTCCTCTGTGTTTAATCTGATGTTTAGGTTTCAGCTCTTCACTGTAACAAGCCCTGTTGATTGTTGAACTTTTTTCCTTATAGTGTCCCAATACTGGCCCTGGAGAAGACCCCTTAATCTTCCAAGTGCCGTTTTGGCTCTTGAACACTTTAAAGAGGTCTTTTGCAGCAGATTTGCCCCCATTCAATACAACGCATAGTTTGATGTCCTTTTCTTTCCTGTTTTTGAGCAGGAACTGAAAGGACCACTCAGCCAGGGGAAAAAAAATCTCCTCTGAAAAGTGGAGACTAGCTGCAGAACCAGATGTCTCACCGCCACTGGCAACATCTGAAGGCCTTGATCCACTTCTAAGAAACTCTGCACCACAGTTTCCTCTTTGTTTTGGACTCCTTGCACTATGGTCTCATGTTCTTTTCCTTTGCCAAACGGAGCAGATATAGTGTAAGTAGATTTAAGGGATCCTCAGTGTTTTGGGGGTTTTTTCTTCTCTTTTCTTTTTCTATTTTTATAGATTTTATTTCGTTTTTTTGTTGTTGTTGTTTTTGTTTACTTCATTGTACAAGATCATGTTCAAAAATATTTTTGCATATCATAGTGCATATTGCTAGGGAAAATAAAATTATTAAGATAAACTAAGAGGTCAGAATGCCCTGTATTAAACATGTTGTAACAACAGGGAAAACACTGCCGTAGTAACCTGACCTTCATGTCTCAAACCAAAACAATGTATCAGCTCCTTTTTTATTTAAAGTATTTATTGTCAATTGAGTGATAGATTACACGGAAGAACATGGGTTTTACACTCATCCGATCGTATTTCGTTTCATTGTAATGACTACAATCCCCTCTGTGCATCATCATTCAAGAGTCTTTGCTTCTATTCCTTCTGGTTTTTTGAGGGTTCTTTTTTTTTTTGGATGTACACCAAAACATTCAGGAATATATAACCATTTAAACCACCAAAGGGCACATTCTGCAAGCCTGCCTCCTGGCCACCAGCACACAGCCTTTCTCGCTCCATGAGTCTAGAGTCCTCAGCTGCTCCCTCTCTCTCCATGTCCCCATCTCTGCCTCCATCTCTGGTGCGTTGCTTCTCTGGATAAGGTCCCGCATTCTGCTTGTGCTCTTCTCCCTTGATGGTCCTAGGGTCCTCTGTTCCTGGACTGTAAGATTAACTACCCACACATTTTTGTTATAAAACTTCTATCTTTGCAGTTGTACTCTGCACTATTTTTGAACTATTCTCTTTATTATTTTAGAATAAAAATGTAAAGCATATAAACAAACAAAAAACACAAGTCTGTGAGAGCCAAAATATGACCTTGAACATCTCTCACCTGAATTTAGAGATCATCTCAAGAACAGATTTGACGTATTAAACACCAATGGATGATAAATCAGAAGAGTTGTGGGATGACATCAACAATATTGTACAGGAAGAAAGCAAAAGGCCATTGAGAAGATAAGGAAGAGAGAAAAGACCAAAATAGATGTGAGAAGAGATTCTGAAACTTGCTCTCCAGCACAGAGATGCTAAAGAAAATGGAAGAAATGAGGAAGTCAAATAGCTGAAGAGAAATTTTCAAAGGGCAGTTCAAAAAGACCAAGTCAAACATTATAATGAAATGTGTAAAGACCTGGAGTTAGAAAACCAAAAGGGAAGAACACGCTCAGCATTTCTCAAGGTAAAAGAACACTGAAGAAGATCTTCCTGCCTCGACTTTCAATATTAACAGATTCTATGGCACCGGCTCGATGGCACCTAACAACAACAAAATGGGCAAAATAAGGAACTCTGGTAGCGTAGTGGTTACGAATCAGGCTGCTAGCCTCAATGTCAGCTGTTTGAAACTACCAGTTGTTCTGCGGAGAAAGATGAGGCTTTCTGCTCCCATAAAGATTTGCGGCCTCGGAAACCCTGTATAGGGTCACTATGGGTCGGAACCAACTCCACAGTACTTAACAACAACAATAACACGGGCAAAATATTGAATGATGTAGAAAGTATCAAAAGGATGGAAGGAATACACAATTCAGATGGAAGGAATACACAGAGTCACTGTACCAAAAGGAAATGGTCAATGTTCAACCATTTCAAGAGGTAGCATATGATCAAGAACCGATAATACTTAAGGAAGAAGTCTAAACTGCGCTGAAGCCACTGGGAGGGAAAAACACACACAAGACGTCAGGAATTGACGAAATAGTCATTGAAATCTTTCAACAAATTCATGCAACACTGGGAACACTCACTCTTCTATAATGTGGAAAACAGCTACCTGGCCAAGCAAGGGAAGCGATCCATATTTGTGTTCATTCCAAAGAGGTGACCCAACAGAATGCAGAAATCATTGGACAATATCATCAATATTATATGCAAGTAAAATTTTGCTAAAGATAATTCAAAACCAGCTGCAACAGTAAATTGACAGGGAACACTGCCAGATTCAGGCGAGGACATGAGGACGTACGATGAGGGATATCATCGCTGACATCAGATGGGTCTTGGCTGAAAGCGGAGAATGCCAGAAAGATGTTTGGCTGGTGGTCTGGCAGTTGTGTACCATCGAGTTGCTTCCGATCATAGCAACCCTGCATACGGTTTCGAAGACTGCAGATCTTTAGGGGAGCCTAGCAGGTACCTAATAATAGTAACAAATAGTTTCTTCGTTACTGTGTTGCTGGGAGCCAGAGTTGACTTTTCACTTCCAGCGTCCCCATGTGTCAGACTAGAGTTGCCGCTTAGGGCTTCTGGGGAGCAAATTATCAGGTCTTTCTCCTTTGGACTAGCGGAGTGGGTTCGAACCACAAAGCTTTCAGTTAGCGTCATTCCTGGTAATCTTCAGGCTCTCTGCATTTGCCTACACTGGATATTTCCTTTTGCTCTTGATTGGATGATTCTGACTCATGTGACCCTATAGGACAGAAGCTCCCTACTGGGTCCGAGACTGTCAATGTTTACAGGAGGAGACAGCCTCATCTTTCTCCTGCGGGGCAACTGGTGGGTTTGAACTCCTGGCTCTGCGGTTAACAGCCCAGTGAGAAACCCACTGGGCCGCCACAGTCCCTCGATATCCCCTTTAGTAGCAACAAACAATGTTTGTTCGTTTCTTTCACTCAGCATGATGTCATCAAGCAAACCATTTATATTTGTGTCTTTGCCCAGGCTGTTCCTTTTGCCTAGAATGCTGTTCCTTCTACTTCCTGTCCTGTGGGCCCTGGCCTGGGGAAGAGCCTGCAGAAAGGTCCCCGCCCCCCCTGCTGGCCTCAGCCTGCGGTCAAACAATCCCCCAGACATTTCCTGTTCTCAACATTCAGGCAGACACCCTGGGAGGTCAGCGACTGTAGCTACTTGGAAGCTGGTCCTCCAAGAACCTCCCTCCTCCAGCAAAATTTTACCTGTGTTCATTCCAGACGTCTGTTCTGAAGGTAGGGGACCTCTGAGGGGGAGGCTGGGCAGGGAATGACAGAAAAGAAACCGTTCTGCATTAGAGCTGGAGTTGAGGGGCTGGGAAGGTTGAACTCCAGGATAAGGTACAAGGGTGGGTCCCTAGGTCACTTCCTTTATTGCCCACCCCCAGCTGTCCCTTGGCAGCCTGGGCTCAGACCTGGCCATCAGTCCATGTCCCTGGAGGACCGATGGTGGCATTCTTGTCTCACATGTAAGGAATGAAACTAAAGAGGCTAAAGCCAACCATGACATCATAACAGGGCAGGGGGAGAAGGGGAGCTAGAGTGGGGGTCCTCTGCTCTCAGCTGGAGTCCTGTCTTCTTCTCCCATGAGCCTTGTCCATATCCACCTGTGTGAGCTAATGAGCATGCTCATGTGCTCACCCCTGCACCCCCCTACAGCATGAGCAGTCCTGAGTTGCCCCCGGAGACCCCTGAGCCCGACCCCAACAGCGAGTCCACGCAGCCGACGTACAGCAACCTTGGTAAGTGAGTCAAGAATGAGAAGCAGCCTGTGGAGGTGGCCAGGCAGGGCATGTGGGTGGGGCCACCGCTTAGACAGATGAGGAAACTGGGGTTCAGAGAGGGGCAGCCACCTGCCCAGAGCCACACAGGAAAATGGAAGTCACCTGTCCCTCCTCTGAGCTTCATCTGTACATGGAAGATAGCCTACATTGTGCCTTCGACTTAGTCCTGCAGGACACAGTACAATAGCTCCTTAGGGTTTCCTAGACCATAACCCTTATGGGGAGCGGCTAGAGGACTTGAATGGTCCGTCAAATACCACATGTGGGGACTTTAATAAATTAAACTATTATCTCTGTTGTTGCTAATGCCATCGAGTTGGTGCTGACTCATAGCAACCCTGTCTAGGGTTTCCAAGGAGCAGCCGGAGGGTTTGAACCCCCATCCTTGTAGTTAGCCAATCCAGGGATTTTTCATCAGTGCCACACCAGGTCTCAGTTTAGGAGATTAGAAGTCTGAATTCAGTGTTCTCTCTCTCTATTTCTCTTTCTCTTTCTCATTTCTGGTTCCAACACTAACCCTGGATCACTACATGAATCCTTGTCTTTGTTGCGTGAATAAAACAGGATTGGTAGAGATTATAGGTCCACAGGTTAGGATTTACAACACCTATTTATGGGCTGCTGCTCTAACAGAAATCTAAAGTGCGCAAATGAGTTTGAGAGGCTGGAAGAGAACTAAGGTACACTAGATTCCCTTGAAGAGACTGTTGGTGGAAATACAGATATCTAAGGCAATTCTGGAAGGAGCTCTGGTAGCGTAGTGGTTACGATTCGAGCTGCTAACCTCAAGGTCGGCAGTTTGAAACTACCAGCTGTTCCATGGGAGAAAAATAAGGCTTTCTGCTCCCGTAAAGATTTGCAGCCTCAGAAACCCTGTGAAGGTCACTATGAGTCAGAACTGACACCACAGTACTTAACAACAAGAAGGCAATTCCGGTGTGGCAATTCCGGTGTGGCGCTATGGGCTAATGCACCAGACTGAAAAACCATTTGAACTGCAAGGTCAGCAGTTGAAGCTCATCGGCTGCTCCTTAGAAACCCTAACAAAGGGTAGCTGTGGGTCGGAATCGACTCGACAGCACTTAACAACAACAACAAGGCAATTTCTGCTGTGGTGTTGTAGGATCAGCACTGGAACTGGAAACCACAAGGTTGACAGTTCAAACCCACCAGCTGCTCTTCGGAAACCCGATACAGGGTCACGATGAGTTAGAGCTAACTCAATGGATTTAACAACAACAAGGCAATCCCTAGTATGTCGCTGTGAGTTAATGTGCTGGACTGCAAAGTCAGTTTGAACCACAATGTTGGCAGTTCTAGCTCACCAACTGCTCCTCGGAAACCCTATGCACAGCTATGGGTTGGAACTAACTTGCTAGTACTTAGCAAGAGCAACAAGGATAGATACTGAACTTCAAGGTCATTTGAATTGCAAGGTCGTTGGTTCAAACTCACCAGCCGCTGCTCAGAAACACTATACAGGGTCACTGTGAGTCGGAATCGACTTGACAGCATTTAACACACATTTCACTCCACAACTGATAGAAGGAACTCCGATGGTGCCACAGTTAAGTACTGGGCTACTAACTGGAATGTTGGTGGCTCAAGTCCACCCAATGGTCCCGCGGAAGAAAGGTCTGGCTATCTGTTCCTAGAAATTTAACAGCCTAGAAACTACCAGCCATTCCGTGGGAGAAAGATGAGGCTTTCTGCTCCCATAAAGATTTACAGCCTCGGAAACGCTGTACAGGGTCGCTATGAGTTAGAACCGACTCCACGGCACATCACCCCCACCATGGAACATTCTACTCTGACACCGACAATATCAACTGATCCTATATCAGCATATGTAGAAAATGGATAATCAAGTCTCAGCCCATAGTGGGCACATTACCTAGGCTCCTATCACAGGTGCCACAAGCTGGTGGCTTCAGACAGGAGAGATTCAGTCTCCCACAGTTCCGGAGGCAGAAGTTGAATCCAGGTGTGAGCAGGGCTAAGGGAGGGTCCTGCCTTGTCTCCTCCAGCTTCTGGTTCCTAAGCTTGTGGCTAGTCTCCAGCCTTACCCTCTCTGCCCACTTTCTCCTTCTCTTTCTCCTTGTTGCTGTTGTTAAGTCCCAGCAAGTCGGTCTGACTCATAGCGACCCTGTATAGGACTTCCACGGAGTGGCTGTTGGGTCTAAACCACCGACCTTGTGGTTAGCAGTCCAGTGCTCCATAGGGTTGGCTAGGCTGCCAACTTCACTGGGGAACCACTGAGTGGGTTTGAAGCGCCACCCTTTTCTCTTTAGAGACAATAAACATCGGATTCAGGGCCCACTCTCCTCCAGTAGGAGTCCCAGGATGGCACGAGTGGAAATGTGCTCGGCTGGTAACCAAAAGGTTGGAGGATCAAGTCCACCCAGGATGAAAAGCCAGGCAAGCTAGTCTGAAAATCCTGGAGAGCACAGCTCTTTGCTGACACACATGGGGCCGCCATGAGCCTTAAACGGACTGAAAGACAACTGTTTTTTCCATGGTTTTCATGTAATTAATGACGTAGTTGCAAACAAGGTCACGTTCACAGGTACAGGGGTAAGGATAGTAGCATGTCTTTTGCGGAGACACCATTCAACCCAGTACACCGTCTCTGCCCCATAGGACAAGAGAGACCTGGATACCCCTGTTAATTCCCATTTGAGGCTTAGGGCTGAGGCCAAGCATCTTGGGTCCCATATACCTAATGTCCTCCCAACAGGTGAGATCCGAGCCCACCTGCTACCTTCCAAGGCCTGCCGCCCCCGAACACCGGGGTCCCTCTCCACTGACCCGCAGCCCCCGCCATTGCCCAAGAAGACTTTAACGAGAACCCAGTCCCTACCTATCCAAGGGACTCCTGGCCCCAGCCCCACTCACGTCGGGATGTCTCGGAAGCCCCTCTTGGGCTCCCTCAGTGTGGACAAGAGTCAGGAGGACAAGGCCAGGCCAGCCAGTCCCTCTGAAGAGCTGACCTTCAGCACCCCTGACTCTGAACTGGGCCACTTCTTCCAAGACCTGCACAACTCAGAGGCGGTCCACGCTGCTCTTGCTGTCCAGCAGCTAGCCAGTGTCAGTACTATCCACGCCCGGCTCCGCGCCCGGTTCACAGGGGGCCGCCCTGGCCCCTGCAGCCCTGGTCACAACTTCCGCCTCCTGGACAACTCGCCCTACGTGGACAGCGGGGATGCCCTCTACTATCGTGTGGTGCAGGTGGACGAGGACTCCTGGCACATCCTGGCCGCCAAGGTGAGCAAGGCCCACCTAGCTCTGCAGTGTTCCCTTAGTTTTCTATCTTAGACACAACCTGTAACCCATGTTCCAACAAACCAACCAACAAAACAAAACTGCCATCAAGTGGACGCCACCCTTTGGCGCCCCCATGTGGCTTCTATCAGAATTGGATTCCACAAGGGCTTCCAAGCTGGTTATTTTCCGTTCAGTTATTCCAACGGCGTGAAACAAGGATATTGTTGTTGTTAAGTGTCATCGAGTTGGTTCCAACCCATAGCGACCCTGTACTGGGTTTCCAAGCAGCATCTGGTGAGCTTGAACCACCGACTTTGCAGTTCAAACAGCTTTGTAGTCTGGCGACAGAATGTAGGCACGCTGAGCCAGGAGTTGGAACAACAGAATGTTGTGAGTCCTTTAGAACACAGCAGCTAAGGCCTGGCCCTGCAGCATCTGGGCAGACTATCCTAAGACTTTCTACCTCCTGCTATGGTACTGTCGGATCAGCACTGAACTGAATTACAAGGTTGGGAGTTCAAACCCATCCGCTGCTCTGCAGAAACCTACACCTAATCACTATGAGTCAGAACCTACTCAAACGGCACTTGACAACAACAACCTACATACCACAACTCAGGCAGCTTTAAAATAACAGAAATTTGCTCCCTCACGGTTCTGGAGGTAGAAGTCTGAATTCAGAGAATCAGCAGAGCCACGCTCCCTCCAAAGGCTCTTTGGGGGCATCCTGCCTTCTTCTTCCAGCTTCTGGTGGCCCTAGACATCCCTTGGCTTGTGGTGACATCACTCTCCTCTCTGCCTCCGTTGCCACATGGTGTCTTAACTCTGTGCCTATCTGTGTCTCTCCTCCTCCTCTTCTAAAGACATTGCTCATACTGGTGTTCCTGGGTGGTGCCGACAGTTAACGTGTTCAGCTGCTAAGTCAAAGGCTGAAGGTTTGAGTTCATCACAGGCACCTGGAAGAAAGGGCTGGCAATCTATACAGAAAACTCAGCCAATGAAAACCCTTATGGAGTGAAGTTTTACTGTAACACACATAGGGCTACCATGTTGTTGTTAAGTGCCGTTGAGTCGGTTCTAACCCATAGAGACCTTGTATGGGTTTCTGAAGAGCAGCTAGTGAGCTTGAACCGCCGACCTTACAGTTCAAACAACCTTGCAGTCTGACACATTAGCCCACAGCGCCACACCAGGACTCCTGTGAGTTGCAGGGAATTCAACAGCAGGTGGTTGGTGTTCATATTGGAGTTAGGATCCACCTGCTGGAGTCCTGGGGTGGTGCTGTGGGCCAATGCGCCAGACTGCAAAGCCATTTGAACTGCAAGGTCGGTGGTTCAAGCTCACCAGCTCCTTGGACACCCTATACAGGGTCGCTATGGGTCAGAATCAACTCGATGGCACTTAACAACACTGCAATATGACTTCGTGTTAAATGATAAAAAAGAATTTTTTTTTTTTAATTTAAAGATGTTATTCCGTAACAAAGTCCTGTTTACAAGTACCAGGGTTTGACTTTAGCATATCTTTGTTAAACCCAGTTCAACCCAAAACAAGTACCTACACCCAGAACTTCACCCCAACTGTCATTACTAAATGCCCTCAGAGAATTCTAACGTAATCCCTAGAGCTGATGACTTCCTGACCACCGTACAGTGGCCACAGAGGCCTGCCGGGCTAAGGCTAGGGCTGGGGTTTGGGCAGGCAAGCAGTGGAGTACTAACCACAAAGGAGCTCTGGTAGCGTAGTGGTTACGAATCAGCCTTTGAACCTTAAGGTCAGCAGTTCGAAACTACCAGCTGTTTCGTGGGGGAAAGATGAGACTTTCTGCTCCCGTAAAGATGTACAGCCTTGGAAACCCCGTACAGGGTTGCTATGAGTCAGAACCAACTCCACGGCACATAACAACATCGACAACTAACCACAAGGTCAGAGGTTCAAAAGCACCAGCTGCTCCTTGAAAATCCTACACAGGGTGGCTAAGAGTTGGAACCAACTGGATGGCACTTAACAAGAACAAAAACATGGTGGCCATTGGCCATTCTGGGCTGGTGTGTGCTGATAACTAACTCCACACAGGATCTCAGAGACTCAGTAGGAAAAGGAAAGAAAAGAGGGAAGGACGGGGGGAGAAAAGAGGAAGGAAAAGAATATAAAACAGCTCATCAATAAACTCAGCTGCTAACCGGAACAGGTTAGCTGTTAGAGCCCACCAGCTGCTTGGTAAGAGAATGATCTGGAAACTTGTTTCCATAAAAATGGCAGCCTGGGAAACGGTACGGGGCAGTTCTACTGTGTCACCTGGAATCGCTATGAATCGACCACCGCCCATTGAAATGGTTACACTTTGGACCTACTGGGTTAAATCACCATGCTGCTAACTAACCACAAGGTCGGCAGTTCGAGCCCACTGGGGAAAGACGAGGCAATGTTCTCCTATAAAGGAACACAGAGAGCTGTTCTATTCACTCCTAAAAGGTCCGAGTGAGAGTCGACGTGATAGGAGTGAATTCGGCTTTGGGGTTTCGGGTTAATGAAATATATCATTAAATTTCCTTTCACCTATTTCTCTTCCCTTTTGGGTTGTTGTTACATGGCTACTGGAGAGTTCTAAACTGCATGCGTGGCTGTATGGTATTTCTATTGGAGAGCCCTGCTCTGCTAGGGAAGCTGATCTCTTTCTCCTTCCCAAGTGGTCAGTAATGATGTTGTGACCCTTGGCAGGGAGGAAATGATGACCCTTTAGCCCTCCTTCCCAAGGAGTCCACCCCAACTCATGGTACCCCATGTATGTTACACTAGAACTACACTGCCCATGTTGTCAGTGGTTGGTTTTGGGGGAATAGATTGGCAAGCCTTATTCCTGATTCAAACCTCCAGCCTTTAGGTTAGCAGACAACTGTGTTAACTATTTGTACCACTCAGGGACCCCAAAAACCAAATCCACTGTTGTAGCAATTCTGGCTCACAGTGATGCTGTAAGACACAGTAGAACTGCCCCCATCGTTCCAATGCTGTGATTTTCATGGGATGACACTGCCACACCTTTCTTCTGCCGAGCAGCTGACGGGTCGGGGCTATCCACCTTTCAGTGAGGTTAGCAGGTGAGCGCTTAACCAATGTGCCACCAG